CACCATCTAGTCTTACTTTTGGTAATTCTGGAGCCCAAATAGGAAAAGGAATTAGGGAAATTAGGTAAAGGTAAAGGTTCCCTTGCTCGAAAGCCAGTCGAATCCGACTCTAGGGTTGCGGTGCTCATCTCCGTTTCAAAGCCGAAGAGCCAGCGTTGTCCAAAGACGTTTCCGTGGCCATGTGGCCAGCATGACTAAACACCAAGGCGCACGGAATGCTGTTACCTTCCCACTGAAGTGGAACCTATTTATCTACTTGCAATTTCTTGCTTTCGAACTGCTAGGTTGGCAGGAGCTGGAGCTAGAGACGTGGCACCAAAATATTGCAAACCTCTTTAAAAAATGCTGTTACATTACCACCACGCCCAAGAGGAGATGATGTTACCTTCCCACCGAAGTGGTACCTATTTATCTACTTGCAATTTCTTGCTTTCGAACTGCTAGGTTGGCAGGAGCTGGAACTAGACACGTGGCACCAAAATATTGCAAACCTCTAAAAAAATGCTGTTACATTAGCACCACTCCCGAGAGGAGATGTGTGGAGAGTCTCAGTTTACTTCTCACAATTAGAAAAGATACCGTTACACATTTATCCCCTATTTTGACATGTTTATTGTTGTGCTGTTCAATCCCCCTTAATTAAATCAAAACAACTGTTGACCTTGTAACCTTAGCTTGTTATTTAGTTTTGTCTTTGCATATCTTAAAACATCTTCATCTTGTTATGTGTTAGTATGCTGCCCAGCCTCTGTCTATAAGTTGGAAATCTTACCTTCCATTCCAGTGTATTTGAAAAAGTGTGCCTTGCACACGAAAGCTCATACCTCCTTGAATAAACCTTTGTTGGTCTTAAAGGTGCCGCCGGACTCTAAATTTGTTCTACTGCTTCAGACCACCTGGAACTATCTCTCAAGGGACTGTAATCGCCCCACTCAGGTACTAGGCATCTCCAAGCCAACTCACTTTTTACCATTTTCACAAAGAGAAGATACATGGATATCAAAAGGTACAAATAAAATCCAGCACACTGAGCTATGCACCAAATCTGAGCATACCCCACAAGAACTGGGCTGCCCTCAGTTAGCAATGCTTCAGGCATCACCTCAATGAACAACCAAAGGCTTTTCCTTCCCTTCACAAATTGTCTTTTCCCCCCCTTAAATATTGCTACTGTAATGCAAAAAATTATGTAGATCTTCCCATGGCACAACCAGATTTCAGGAATGTATCACATATCCACATTTTGTTACCCGCCTCTTCCTGTTACATAAGCACAGGGCTTTTTTTCTGGGAAAAAAAGGTGCCAGAACTCTCAAGAGGGAAATGAAAACTCATGAACTTTTAAACATTTTTAAAAGAATTTTGTCGAAGAGGTTCCAGAGCTCCATTCCAGTGCGTTCCCCCAGAAAAAAAGTCCTGCATAAGCAATGAGCTACCAATCTTACTACACCGTCTGCCGAATGCAACCAACCACAGCACAGGTAAGAGCAGGTCTCCAAAGATGTTCTGAATGGGCCTGGATCCCCAGGACTTCTTAGTGTAAAACTCTGAAACTTAGTCAGATCCTTCATTTTTGCCCCATTCACCCTGAGAGGAAAAATTTCAAAATGGCCGCTCATGAAGACACTGACTGAAAACAGCTTCGGTTAACGAGTTCTATATTGCCACGATCCTCTGAAAGGAGGAATTTCTCAGCATTGCCAGCCAGCAGAATGAACTAACCCAGGCTACACCCATGTACTATCAGAAGCCCCCCCAAGCAATGTTCCCTCTAAGCTGTGGAGTCTTGTGAGCAAAAATTCAGCTTTGTGAGCTACTGGCATTAAAGTTGTGAGCGAGGGATTGGGCTGCTGCATACACTAGTTTGCTCTGGAGCCCTCCTTCCTGAGCCAAGACAAAAATGTGTGAGTCGCAGGCTAAAAAACTGTGAGCTAGCTCACACTAACTCAGCTTAGAGGGAACACTGCCCCCAAGGCCTCTGTATTAAGAAATATTCTCTCTTCTAGAGTACTGCAATAGTAAGAGTGCAATAAATGCGCATTACAGCTCCAATATCCTTCACCAACCTATATACAGTAGAGATTTTACCCTACAAATACACAGGGCTGCAGGATCACACCGGCATGACCTGGGTACCACAGGACAGATTCATCAGCAGCTACTTTAGCAGGCCATTCATCTAGCAAAAATAATGGCTAAATATGATGGATAAATGCCCTTCTAACCAATGGGCCATCTCCAGAGTCGCCAACCTCCCAGGCGGCACCTAGAGATCTCTCACTATTACAACTGATATCCAGACTACAGAGAGCCACTCCGTGGAGAAAATGGCTGCTTTGGAGGGTGGACTCTATGGCACTTTACCGTGCTGAGGTCCCGCCCCTTCCCCAAATCCTGCCCTCTCCAGGCTCCGCCCCCCACATCTCCAGGTATTTCCCAACTCAGTGCTGACAACCCTAGTCAGCTCCAAAGTCTGTTTCTAGCTGTGAAAAGTTCTACATCTGTCCTCTGCTTCTGGGAGGTATGAAGGGGACTGTGTTTGAATGGAGCAAGCTACTTTTACTTAGAGGGACAGAAGCAGTGTGTTGAAATGGGAGAGTCGTCGGCAGGAAGAGTCCCCAGGGATATCCAAGATTACTGTCACTTCATCTGACAAGCCTAAAGCTAAAGGTTTCCCTTCCTCGAAAGCCAGTCGACTTCAACTCTAGGGGGCGGTGCTCATCTCCAGGTTTCTAAGCTGAAGAGCCAGCGCTGTCCAAAGACGTTTCCGTGGTCATGTGGCCAGTATGACTAAACGCCTAGGTGCACAGAACGCTGTTACCTTCCCACCGAAGCAGTACCTATTTCTCTATTTGCAATTTCTTGCTTTCAAACTGCTAGGCTGACAGGAGTTGGGGCAAAGATGGGAGCTCCCTCTGTCACGGGGCACTCGGGTCTCAAACTGCCAAGCTGCAGACCTTCCGGTCTGCAGCTCAGCATCTTACCCTCTGAGCCACCGCGGCCTCTGATAAGCCTAACTTCATTTAATTTGAAGCTGTTCTACCATGAGTACAATGCAAACTCTACAATGGCAGTTTGACCAAACTGTGGAAGATCTAGCAGCTCAGATTTTCTTTACCCTTTATGCCTCTCTTTGCACTGGAGAAACTGTCACATGTGGACTCACCAACTACTGCCAGAAGCTCAGATGTGAAAGTAAATGGGAGAAGTATTTTTTTCATCTCGAAAGAAATTAGTTCTGCTTTATTATTATGGGGCATTTGGAAAAGGAGAGCCAGAATTGCAGCCACAAACAGAACACTGATAGCAGTCTTCCCATTTTAAGAGGATATAACAGGCCTTATACAAAGGTTCAACTACCACATCACATGCAACATTTAATGTTGGACAAATGACCCATTCAGACGAAGAGTCACTTCTGGTGGCTGTGAGTAGGCATAAGGAAGTCAGAGGGAGGAGTGCTTAAAACCAGCGGTTTCCAATGTACCAAGGAGCCCTGGGGCCCATCAGATTAAGGGTTTCTTCATTATAAATTCAGTTGGAGGATAAAATTCTTTGAAGATTCTACTTGTCTTCCCCTTCAATATTCCGCTCAACACAGGAGAATGTTTGGTGCATCATAGATGACATTCACAATCCATACAAAACAACGGTTCATCAAGTCCTGCCATTTTTTTGTGACCTGTATACATCTCAGACTCCTGAAATGCACTGAGTCAAGACAAAATACACCTTGGAGCAGGGAAAGGCTTGTCTTGATGGTTCTTGACACAACACAATATTACCTGGTGAGGGAAAGGCTGAAGCCCTCATTTCTCAAGCTAATTCTCCACTGCTGATTATCACGCTCAACACAGGAGAATGTTTGGTGCATCACAGATGACATTCACAATCCATACATAACAACGGTTCATCAAGTCCCGCCATTTTTTTGTGACCTGTATACATCTCAGACTCCTGAAATGCACTGAGTCAAGACAAAATACACCTTGGAGCAGGGAAAGGCTTGTCTTGATGGTTCTTGACACAACACAATATTACCTGGTGAGGGAAAGGGTGAAGCCCTCATTTCTCATGCTAATTCTCCACTGCTGATTATCACCAGAACTGTCTTTTCCCCACCTGTACATGTTGGCATTTAACATGTCATTTGGACTGCAGCAGATCACTGATCCATCTAATCGATAGTGCTTACCCTACAGTGGGTCTCAGGAAAAGGTCTAACCAAATGCTTTGAACTAGGGATTCCAGAGACTGAACCTGGGCCCAAAAGAAATCTGCTGCCCTACCATAGACCTACCTTCCCTCTGCGTAACACCAGAAGAAATCTCCATGTGCTTAGATGCTATGCGCCTAGTGCCAGACAATACAAACGCATACAGCTATTCAAAAACAAAGCAGATTTGACATAACCATGTGCTTCAAGGCTAAAAGGCTCAACTCAATGAGTATACACTACCTCAGGTGTCCTCAGTCTCATGGACACTTCCGAAATTTTGAGAAGCGTCAGGGTGAGTGGCATAACAAAATGGCTGCCTCGGGGAGTCCAACCATGCCATATTGGGAGGTTCCATGCCAGGCACCCTCTTGTATTGAAAGCAGCTATTTCAAAACAGGTTCTTCCTGTAGACATAAAACTGATGCATCCTGGGCTCGTCTGTGCAACCTCCTGCTCCAATTAAGTGGAACAAAACTAAGAATGGCTGTTTGCTTTGAAGCAGCAGCAGCACCAGGAAACACACTGGCAGGTGACGTGGCGCCCACGGGCACCGTGTTGGGGACCGTTCCACTGGTTAATAATGAACTGTCTCGAGAACCATTAAGATAACTGCTGCCGGCAGGCTCCAGGCACTAAAGCGGACAACGTTTTCTGGCTCATCCTGGCAATTCTTAGCCCCAGAACGATAAGCATTCATTCCTGGCTTTGCCTTCCAGTTGTTATTCCTGGTCTAGAACAAATCCCACCCTCTATTCCCAAGGAAACAACGGCACTCTCTTACCTGTGTGAGTCAGCATATGCCGTTGTAAGGAACTTGCCCACGGAAAGACTCTGGGACAATGAGGACAGTTGATTTTCTGGATGCAGTTAGAGTAGGCGTTCTTCTTCCCCCGCAGCACCTTGTCCTCCACCGTTTCTCTCTCTTCTTCGCTGGTTCCATTTTGGTCAATTGCTTCTTTGAAGTCTCGGGTTGACTGCAGAAACGTGCTGAACTTATTGGTATCCGTAGTGGCCAACATCTTCTCTATGCTAGCAAACTCTCCGCTCGACTCCAGGTCCACGCTGCCGCTCGCCTTGGGCTTGTTCCTCGTGCCTTTCTTCCTGCCTCTTTTCTTCATGGACCCGGGAGAGGTGGATTTCGTTAGCCTATCTGGGCTGCACACCCTCTGCGTCAAGTCGCTGGGGATGCCGGCATCCGCTTCGACGGCGGTTGCAGTTGTCACTTTCGGCTTGGAACTCCCTGGTTTTTCAGGACCGGCGGAGCTGCCGACTGCCTTGGGAACAGAGTCTGTGACCTCCGTTTTCAGCAAAGCTGGAGCAGAAGACACCGATGAAATAATCTGTGCAATGGAAGCGAGGGGTGGCAGCTCTTTCGTGATGGGAGGTTTTGGCAAGAGAGGCGGGGGCTTGGGCCTCAAGGGGCGCAGCAAAGCAGAGTTCCCCAGAAGAGCCGGAGAAATGATGGGGACAGTCAAATGCAATGGACCCTTCAATGGCTGGGAATGTCTGAGAGGCTGGTTCTCCGAGTTGCCGTTCACCGCGGGAGGAGACTGCTGAACGTGATGGAGCTTCTCATCATTCCCACTGAGGTGCTCCTGCTTCTTCTCCGGGCTCGTGGCGTTGTCCTCTTTGTCCTTTTTTGGAGCTTTGGGGATTGACAAGTCTATGGGCTCCAAGGAGCCATCGTATGGAGAGGAACTGAGCAAATTTTCCTGCTTCACCAGCACAGAGTTCAGGTTTTTGTTCTTCTGCGAGAAATCTAAAGGTTCGTCGAAATCCACAGGGAAGCTGTTTGCGGTTTCAAGTTTGATCGGCGGGTGAGAGGGGGCGCCAACCAAGAAGCCATTCTGGGGCTCTCTAAAAGGTGCGATCGGCTTGCAGTCCATGTAAGTGCTGTCTTCCGGGAGGAGGGTCCCCGGCTGGCTCCCCGAAGGGGTGAGGTCCACCACCAGCACGTAGCTCTCTACCTCCTTCTCTGGGATGTGCAAGTGCTGCTTGAGGATATGGTGGACACAGTTCCGCTTGGCCGAGAAGGTGGTGCCACACTCCTTGCATTCGAACGGTTTCTTCTTCTGGCAGCCGCTGTGCGTCCTCATGTGAATGCGGAGGGCCCGGTAATGCTTCAGGTCCTCCCCGCAGAACTTGCACACCGAGTCTGGGGAACAGAAGGCATCCACCATCTCCGCCGCGTTGCTGGTGACGTACTCTATGTTTTTCTCTATTTCCTTCCTCGTAACCTTGAGGTGCTTCTTGCGCAGGTGCCTTTCGCAGTTGGCTTTCACTGTGAAAGGGTAGTGGCAGATCTTGCAGATGTACGGCCTCTCCCCGCTGTGTGTCCTCAAGTGCCGGATGAGAGCTGCCTTGTCAGCGGCAATGTACTCACAGATGTTGCACTGGTAAGGGGAGATGCCCAGGTGGGAGCGGATGTGAGCTCTCAAGACGCCTGAGAAAGCAAACACCTGGTCACAAAACCGGCATGGATACAAGACTTTTCTCACGGGCGAAGACTTCTTGTTCGCCGCCCCGGAGATAATCGCTTTGAGATCTCGCTCAGTTACCTCCTGCTTGATTTTCCCATCCATCGTCAAAGGCAGGAGGGCCTCTATGATGCTGTCTTGTTCCAGTTGCGTTTTCATTTCACGCTGAGTCAGAGGCTCTGCCCTGGCCTGGGGAGCGGGGCTGGACTTGGATCCTGATTGGCTGTATGAGTTTGACGTTGATTCTTCAGAGGGTTTGACCAGCCTGGGTGGCACCAGAGGAAGGCTTGGACTGACGCATCCGGGAGACGCCTGCTGCGCATTGACCAGCGGAGGTGGCGTTGAAGTTGCCACGACTGTCCGAGGGGCTACCAAGGGCTTTGGCTTCAGCGGCGGCATATGCTTGTAGACAGACTGCGCACCAACGTGGGATGCCATAGAAAGTGACGGGAGGCTGATCTGCGGGGTTGCTGAAGAAGCCATCTTTAAGATCTGCTGGATATCTGCTAGCTCAGAGGTGGGCTTGACCAGGATGCTATTGTCGGGTTGGATTATGAAGCTCTTCTGGTAAGGCTGTAGCGACAGGAGCTTCAGGTTTTCTTTCGTAGGGGGAAGGACCGCAAAAGGCCCTCCTATGGAAGCAGCCTCAAGAGGGGACACGGTCAACGGATTAGCACTACCCGGTTCCTGAGGTAGGTTACATTTCAGTGTTCTTAGTTGTGTTTCTTGGACCTCATCTGGCACCAGCGCCTCCTCCTTGACAGGCTGGATGTCTTTGGTGTGCTGCAGTCCCAAGGACGCCATGTAAGCTCTCAGGTCTCCATCCTCCGACTGCTTCTCTTTGCCCTGACTCGTCGTGTGGGTTTCCATGTGCAGTCTGAGTGCAGACATCATGGGGAATGCCTTGTTGCACGTCTCACAGACATACCGGTGGATTTCGCTGGTGCATCTCCGCAGGTTGCTTTCACACCAGACCTACCAGAAACCACAAGAGAACACAAAATGAGTGGGGGGGGGGGTTTGAGAGAGAGGCTAGGTTCAAAATCCAGCAACTTGATAATAGGAGAATAAGCTTTCTTTGTTACTCTTCCATCAGGCAGGACCAAGTAGACAATTCACAGCGAGAGCAAGAGGGAATGTAGGCACGATTGCATGTATTTAGATCCTGATTAACAAGGATCTATGCTTTTGCCGTGAAACCAGTTGTGGTATGTGTGTGTGTGTGGGGGGGGTCCAACTCTTGCCCCACCAGCTCCAACACACTCCTTCCGACCTCTCGCTAAGCAGTGAATTTTATTACTTGGCACCTCCCCACTCCCTAGGCCAACTCTGGCCTCATAAGCCAACAAATCACTGATCTCGTATTTTACAGCGTGGCTTATTTACAAAACTTTTAGCAAAGCCTGTAACTGCTTGACCGAGGACTCTTCCACATTCTCGGTTTCTTCGCTATTGCTTGGGCAGGGAGGAGTTCCTGCACACATTTTGCCCCCTCCAGTGGTCCATTTGACATTATGTCCAGAACATTTCCCTGCATTCTGAGCTCCAAATTGAGATATCTGTGAATTTGCACAGAATCATGGTTTGGAAGGGGCACCTGCATCGCACACAAAGTGACTATCAAATTCATCACCTATGAAAAGGCAAAGAGCGACTCAGGACCTCAGAATCTAAGTGGTTCATCACAGCTTGAGTTTCCATTGGCCTGTAAAAAGCTCATGCCCACCGAGGTGATGTAAGACTTAGTATCTCACCCTTTGTAAAGTAATGATCCTTCTGGAATGCAAAGCATCTTATGAATTTGATCTTAGGTTTGTAGATACACACTAGCTCAGAACTTTATTTTTCCCTCTGACACAAGTACCAAAGCCTGTAGAGATGTGGCTTGCAAATCTGTACTTTACTGAGCTGATACAAGTATATTTCCTTAATGCTGCTTTTTAAGCCAACCACCACCAGGTACCTTTCAGGGTTGCCACTTAAACATTAAATTCTCCCCGACAGGATACAAATGTGGCCAGGTCAAGTATGCTAACTCAGGCTCAACCCCTTTATATCCCTGTTTCCAAACTCCAACTGAAATATTGTTAATTTAAAAAGTCAACAAGGAAAAAAAGCCATCATAAATTTGGGTTGTCAATCAAAGGAAGAGATTACCTGAGAGATACGAGGAAATTTTCTACAAGAGAAGTCTGTGAACCCCAAATCGTGGAAGCCTGCTGGAATCGAGGGATTGTTCTGAATAAAAGGCTTTCCTGATGGGTCTTTTGGAAGTTGTTTATGAATGACTGCATTATGCCGCAACAAACCTCGGTGGGTGCGAAAGGTAATACAACAGACGTCGCACCTGGAGACGAGGGGGAAAAACATACCGTATTTATTTTAGCTACCATGTGGCTTACCTTGTCACATGAACAAGATCCACAGCTGCATCAAACCACATTAGAAATAGAGCATAGTCTGTTACCATCCACTTTTAGTTAGATCACGGAATTACTCTGGAAAGTTACAGGCTAATGCCAGCTTGGTCCTACAGAGACCATCCACTCCCCCTGTGTGAGCACCTGTGGCAAAACTGCACCTGCTCAAAACGGACACTCTTGCTCTACCCACCTCTTAGAGCGTCAGCAGCCCCTGCAAGAAGGAGAAACCTAGGGTTACCAAGCACCTACCGTGAATCGGCGGGGGACACATGCTTTCCCGCCGGAACATTCCTGCCTGTAACCTGGAATGCAAAGCATCTTATGAATTTGATCTTAGGTTTGTAGATACACACTAGCTCAGAACTTTATTTTTCCCTCTGACACAAGTACCAAAGCCTGTAGAGATGTGGCTTGCAAATCTGTACTTTACTGAGCTGATACAAGTATATTTCCTTAATGCTGCTTTTTAAGCCAACCACCACCAGGTACCTTTCAGGGTTGCCACTTAAACATTAAATTCTCCCCGACAGGATACAAATGTGGCCAGGTCAAGTATGCTAACTCAGGCTCAACCCCTTTATATCCCTGTTTCCAAACTCCAACTGAAATATTGTTAATTTAAAAAGTCAACAAGGAAAAAAAGCCATCATAAATTTGGGTTGTCAATCAAAGGAAGAGATTACCTGAGAGATACGAGGAAATTTTCTACAAGAGAAGTCTGTGAACCCCAAATCGTGGAAGCCTGCTGGAATCGAGGGATTGTTCTGAATAAAAGGCTTTCCTGATGGGTCTTTTGGAAGTTGTTTATGAATGACTGCATTATGCCGCAACAAACCTCGGTGGGTGCGAAAGGTAATACAACAGACGTCGCACCTGGAGACGAGGGGGGAAAACATACCATATTTATTTTAGCTACCATGTGGCTTACCTTGTCACATGAACAAGATCCACAGCTGCATCAAACCACATTAGAAATAGAGCATAGTCTGTCACCATCTACTTTTAGTTAGATCATGGGATTACTCTGGAAAGTTACAGGCTAATGCCGGCTTGTAGCCTGTTAGCATCCTACAGAGACCATCCACTCCCCCTGTGTGAGCACCTGTGGCAAAACTGCACCCTGCTCAAAACGGACACTCTTGCTCTACCCACCTCTTAGAGCATCAGCAGCCCCTGCAAGAAGGAGAAACCTAGGGTTACCAAGCACCTACCGTGAATCGGCGGGGGACACATGCTTTCCCGCCAGAACATTCCTGCCTGTAACACACCCGCGTCACACTATGCTGTCGCCCAGATGTGACGTCAGCACGCTCGGCCCGTAGCCAGGCGACGCTCTGGCAATGGGGCTGAAAACTTGATGGCCTGGCTACGTGCCTATGTCACATCTGGGCGGCAGCATAGTGCAGCATGTGTGTTTTCCCCGCAGGAATGTTCCCGCCAAGAACTATGTGTCCCCCGCCAATTCGCGGTAAGTACTTGGTAGCCCTGGGGAAACCAGCCGGCTGCACCCTTGGCTCAACACTAACCCTGTACCAACACTGAAACAGTGGCAAAGGGTTCAGTTCCTCTCCAACACCACAACAGTGATGCAGTAAAGAAGATCAGAAGGGGTGATGGCATAGAAGAGTGGGACACAGGCCTGGCAATTATTTGGACGGCAATTCTCAGAGCCATCAAATATAACTTTGAAGTCAGACCTACCCAACTAGGGCCAGACAGTTCACCTACTGCTCTCACACACTTGGCTCACCAAAGGCTTAATAAGAGTTCTGCTTCTGTCACTTGCCTGAGAGTACAGACTAAGAGGGGAGGGGGCTGTCAGCTGGGAAGGGCACCCGGCAAGTGCCTGGACGGCAGCTCTCTGGCTGGTGAGTCACGGGCTCTATTAAGGGATGGGCTCGGGTATTTTGGCATCTTAGGGAAAATTCGGGGACTTCTTTCCCTTTCCACCAGTCCCAGTGGTGCCAGAAGTCCTGGGCTTATGGACTTAAAAACCAGGCAGTAGCTCCTCAATTGAAACATGTCCTACTATCTAAAGAGGGGCCCCCAAAAGTCCATGGACTGGGATTTATCCCTCACCCTTCTCCCCCTAACAATGCAGACTGCGGATGGAGCTTCCGTTAGCACACTAAACATTCCTCTAGTCAGGGGCGGTCCTAGCCATCAAGCATCCAGGTACCATGGAGCCCTATGCCGGGAAAAGCTGCTCTGAGAGCCCTCAGGGACTGCCCCAGCCACACGACCCTGAAGCCCCAGGCACCATGGGATTGCTGCTGATCCCCCTGCATTGCCTGACACTCAGGAAAGCAAAGGAAGAAGAAGAGAGAACAGGTTGGATTTATACCCCGCCCTTCACGCGGAGTCTCAGAGTGGCTTACAAACTCCTTTCCCTTCCCCTCCTCACAACAGACACCCTGTGAGGTAGGTGGGGCTGAGAGAGCTCTTCCAAGGACTGCCCCTGAGAGAACAGCTCTGAAAGAACTTGTGACTGACCCAAGGTCACACCAGAAGCTGCATGTGGAGGAGTGGGGAATCCTGCACTCCTAACCACTACACCAAACTGGCTGTCTAGATCAGGCTATCTTGGGGCCAATGCCTCCCTCTAAGCTGTGGAGTCTTGTGAGCAAGAATTCTACTTTGTGAACCACTGGCATTAAAGTTGTGAGCGAGCCATTTGGCTACTGCATAAACTAGTTTGCTCTGGAGCCCTCCTTCCTGAGCTAAGACAAAAAATGTGTGAGCCGGAGGCTAAAGAACTCTGAGCTAGCTCACACTAACTTAGCTTAGAGGGAACACTGGGGCTATCCAGGTCAGGGCTAGGCTGAGAGTTATGTGGCTGTTCCAAGGAAGAGGGTGATCAGGTGTAGGGCAGTCAGCAAGCCCGCCCTCTCATGCGATCCTGGGGCCCCCACTATCTCTACGTCCACCCTACCTCCACTCACAACAACAAGCCAACTGGCCCTCCGTAGGCTGTGGTAATTATATTCCCAAAATGATCACAACCATTTACCGTTTCTAATGATCTCTCCCCCTCATGGATCACTGCCTTGTCTGTTTCTAATGATCTCTCTCGTATATGAGAAGTGAGCTTAAATGGATATTACACTGGGGAGAGGGCATTTCGCAAAACGTATCGCCCCTTTTTGTAACGCTTGAGTTGGCCCTCATGTTTACATGTCCCATTGAGGAGGGTGCTGCCACACATCCAAATGCAAAGAGGAGGGCCACCACGCAGGGCCCAGGAAGCAGCTCCGTTAAAGCCCAACAGGGTTCCCAGCGCAATTTAAGCTCATCAAGGGAATTTCTGTTGCACAAACGCTCCGTTTCCAATTGTTCCCAGAGGAAAGTCGTAATGCAGTAACTTTACTGTGTGCAACGATCATGGGACCACAATTATTATACTTAATAAAACTGCTTCCTCCATCACTGGAATTACTCTTTGCACTTTCATTTTTGCAGCCTTTTTGCTGGAATTTAAATAATGACCAGCCTGTCTTTGAATCCTGATTTTACAGTAGACAGCTGTATTCCCCCCCCCCTCAAAAAAACCCCCCGGCCATTCTAAGCAAAATTTCCCAGTGAATCATATGTCTTGAAAAAGGTTATTCCTTTGGTAGGCATGGCTGAATTTGCCAGCCATTTTGCAATTCAGATTACCTCCGTTTCCAGGACATAGCATCTGATATAGTACTCAACTGAGCCAAAAACAGGAGTATTCCAAACTGACACAAACACGGTCAGAGCTAACAGATTTCCTGGAAACACGATATGCGAACGTGTAACTGGGAGGATCTGCCAACCTACTACTCTAACTTGTCTTTAGAAGAAGGGGTCGCTTGCCTGTTATTTGAACTGTGGCACTGTATTTTAATAAAGCGTAGTCAGAAGGCTTAGGAATTCCTGGAAACGCATGCAGAAAGGGAATCTCGGATGCAGACGGTAATGGAGAAAGTAGGGCTCTGTAGACACTCCTTGTCCCAAGCACCACCCCTCCCACTCATTTTCTTCCATGGAAGACGGGTGGGGGCATCACTGGCCAGAAATGAATCAACACGAGACTTCACTTTGCCCGGCTGCTGCACTTGCTCATTAGAGGTCACAGTGACCTCATTGCGAGCTCAGGGTCACAGCCAAAATTCATACGCAGCAAGTCACAGAGAAGGGACCTTGGAAGTACTAAGGATGATGAAAATATAGAATTCTCACTGGGCTTGTAATATTCTGCCTTGGTAATATTCAACACCTGTTGTCATGACTGCAGATGCAAAACAGAAACAAAAGCTTGTGTGAAGCTGAAACATCTGTAATAGGCTCCACCAGCCAAAAACAATGGCTTTCCACCCAAGACCTCCCACCTTCTCTCTGGCACCTTCTTCTTAAATCTGTCCACAAAGACAATGAGGACCGTCGCAAGTGCACGCGGAAGGTCTGAAAGATACAGACCAGAGCCGTGAATCTGAGCGCTTGCAAGGTCTCTCCCAGGATTTGCAAAACTAACTTGGGCTTGTCAAATAGACTTTGCAAAATGCAAAGTGACCTGTGGAGGACAGGAAGGTTGATGAGCAGACTGGAAGGAGTTCTTATTCTGCCGTGCAGGGAGCACAGAGGACTCTTGTGGACCACTAGAAACCTAGGACAGCTCAAGAAGATGTGAACACAAACTCACTACAGTTGCTACAATGTAGTGCTGCAAGAAAATCAACAAGTAGTAAACCAGCAAAAAAGTGACTAGTGCACAACAGCACTGTTCTTTTTCTTTTAAACAAATTAAATAATAATTTAAGGAGGAGGAGGAGATTAGATTTATACCCCACCCTTTACTACCCAAAGGGGTCTCAGAGTGGCTTACAGTCTTCTTGCCCTCCCCCTCCCCACAACAGACACCCTGTGAGGCAGGTGGGGCTGAGAGAGCTCTCTCAAGAACTGCCCTTGAGAGAACAGCTCTGAGAGAACGTCTGACGGACCCAAGGTCACACCAGCAGCTGCATGTGGAATCAAACCCGCTTCATCCAGATTAGAGTCCATGCTCCTAACCACCACACCAAACTGGCTCTCAATTAATTGCTGATCATGAAACAGTCCAAATGATTCTAGTCAAAGTCTTTACAAGAACTCTCTCAATTAAAATTCCATTTCTTTAAACAGGGATACAAAAGTAGTACGCTTTAATTTATGCTCTATTTTATTTTACCCATTTACTTTTTGGTGTGCCTGAGACCATTCTGGTCCCATGGTTCGTCTTGTTTTGTTTTTGAATGCAGGTTGCGGGGGTGCTAGGGGGGAGGGGATGGAGATCCAGTTCATTTTTTTCAAAGACAAACCTGACCCTTTATACTCTGCCAAGGTAGGAGGAGAAAAGAGGCTGGCAGCTTTAATGAAGCACCAAAGGGTTGGATCTAGACTATATTTTCCATTAAAGGAAGGAGGAGGGATCATTTCCACCAATTCCCTCTTCCTACTGCAGGTTCCCAAACTGCCTCTCATGCCTCTTCTTGAGCGTCCCCTGCCCCCCAGAAGTAGCATTTTGGGCTGCAGTTGAGAAGGGGGAAGTAGGGTTGCCAGTTCTGGGTTGGGAAATACCTGGGGATTTGAGGGGGGGGGGAGCCTGAAACAGGTGGGTTTGATTTATTTATTTATTTTTCATATTTATATCCTGACCAGGGGTCATTTCCTGCAGGAGCGCAGCTCCGGCAGTAAAGAGCCTAGGGGGCGGGCATGTGCAACAAGCCCCACCCCCTGCTCCCAGCAGCCCTCAGTCAGAGCAAGAAGCAGCCAGGTAAGTCGCAGAGCCCCCCCCCCAGTCCAAAACAGTCCAGTGGCACCTTTAAGACCAAGTTTTATTCAGGTACAAGCTCTCCCTCCTCTGCGAGGAC